AAAAATTAATTAAGTTGTGGAAAAATTTAAAATTTGCGGAATAGCGGAATATATATTAATTGATTAAAATATTTTATATGGTTTTTAATTTGTTATAAAAAAACAACTAGTAATAATTAAAATAATTATTATAAATGTGAAAACAACTAAAATTTATTAAAAATATTTTAGTTTTTATTATAAATATCTAACATATCTTTCAATACATTTTAACAATAGACATTTTTTAATATACAAATTATAATAGAACTTTATTTACAACATAATTATTTATCATTAAAATTATTGATATGTATTTTATATTTTAAGATAGTATTAGCATATAATTTAATAATATGAAAATATTAGTTTGTAAACCTTTCCNATTTTAACAATAGACATTTTTTAATATACAAATTATAATAGAACTTTATTTACAACATAATTATTTATCATTAAAATTATTGATATGTATTTTATATTTTAAGATAGTATTAGCATATAATTTAATAATATGAAAATATTAGTTTGTAAACCTTTCCACCATAATCTACTAAAACTCACTTTTCCACTTAATAAAATTTTTCTTTATATTTTTGTCAGCAAAAACGCAAGTTTGCGTTTTTGCGTTTTTTTTTCATTCCGCAACATTTCGTTGATTGGCAAAATTCTTGCGGAATCGCGTTTCATAAGTCATTCCGCCATTTCGCATGGTTACCAATCAATGCCGAAGTCGAATATCCTATAAGGTTGAAAGACAAATTCTTGTTAGTTACTAGACTAACTGTCATTTTTGTTCCACGAAAAATATATAAATCTCGATATGTTATATGTACTATTCTCATAAAACCTAACAAAAACAAAAAACAGGAGAAGAATCACCTAAATAACTATACATATAGTAAATAACTGAACAGGCCAATAATGGTCGCCACGTTACACTGGCACCCTTTTCTGCCAACAATTAAATAACTTGGACTAGCAAATCATCGCCACTGATATGATGAAAGATGCCATTCTTTAATTTGGAAAGCCTAATGCAGTCCCCAACTTCAATAAATCATAGAAAACGAGAAAGTTAGCAGTCATCAACCGTTAGTACATTTAGGTTTTAATAAATACAAAACAAAGCTACTATGGTCGGAGACATGCCTTTGAGTTGGGTACGTTTTTATTGTGTTTTTTTTTTTTTTAATTCACGTGGGTCTCATCAGATCCGTACCAACATTTTTAAATCGAATTAAATAAACAGATTTGATTATCTAATATTATATATTTTGTGTAGTCTTATAATATTTGTTTATTTCGAGAGAAGCTTGAAACTTGTTTTCTATATCATTTTAAGTTGTGATTCAATATATCGAAATTACAGGAAGAAACCCAAACTTGTGCGGTGTAATCATCGAAAAACATGGTTCACATGTCACATGTGGTACATTGAAGACACACATCATCATTGCATGATTTGTTGCTAAATCTGAAACGAACTCATTACACTAGTTTTTTGGTAACACAAATTTAATTAATGTTTTGAATGATTGGGTTTTATAAGTTTCTAGATTACTTTGGTGAATAAAAGATTATTATTGTATTATTCAAATTTCCAAAATGTCATGGAAATTAAATCTTATATTTTTAAGTTTAATCAATTTGGGTTTTGTTTACAAGTATACTTTGCGAATATAAAAATGAAAACTATTTAAAATGATAATATATAAATAATTGTATTTTTCGTGCTTCAGGTTAAATTAGCCTGTAATTCAAACATCTCAACAACATTCAAATATGTTTCACCTCCCACAATATGTATTGCATCTTTTAACAATAACACAGTCTTGCTATTTAAAAAATTTAAATCAAAACATAATACCAAATACACCCCTTAAAGCCATCTCCAAGGAGACACCCAAATTTGATATAACTTCAACTCTAATGACACACTAAAATTTCACATCATTCCACCAAATAAGTTGTTTTGTGAATAGTGTTACACCAAATTTGGGCTAACACTATTCATCACAACAAATATTTTTAAAATATTTTTATTATGTTTTATCTAATAATATTGCTAAATTAGTCTTAATAGTTAGTTCAAATCTCATATTTGTTGTGATGAATAGTGTTAGCCCAAATATATTCAAAAATAACCTCACAAATTTTGAAATATTATTATATTTTATTTTTAATATGATACAATTTGTATTACTAAAATTTTCAAAAATTTCTATAATTTTTTTAACATACAAATTTTTAATCGTAAAATAATTAGCTTCTTATATATCTACAAATTTTGTAACTACTGTTTAGTTTAAAGTTTTGATAATTAGACAATTTATATCACTTTTATTAATTTTATACACATTAACTCAGTATATTTAAGCAATACTAGGTGTTTACCCGCAATTTTGCGGGGAGTAATATAATACGAATAAATATATATTATATTTTAAATTTTCTAATCACGAATAATAATTAGAAATATTAAAATTAAATTTTTACCTTCAAATAGTTTAATAATAAAAAATATCATTATATATGTTTAGAAGAGTTATGAGATTTAAAATAGTTCAACAACATAAATCTAAGTTTGTAAATGTTTTTCTCTTACATAAAGATAATATTAGAATTATTTCACATATTATTTTTTGTTTTATTTTAACACGTGGAAACAGAAATATCATAACCTCCAAAAAAGAAAAAAAATATTTTTTAAGTATCTCCAAGACAATTTTTGGAGGTTCATATCGGTCTGACATCGGCTTTGAAAAATTTTTTTACATAGGTTTCATTGCTCGGTTTGGTTTGATTGTATTCAACTTATTTAAATTAAAAAATAGATACTGTTTTATAGGTGTTTCTTTCAAAGATATGGCAAAAAAATGGATATGATTAAAAAGGATCTAAATTCTTTTTTTTTTTGGATATGAATAAAGTATTCAAATCTAAAAAAACAATACAGATAATTAATTTTTGAATTAGTTTTTTTAGTATCCATAAAAATAAATAAAATTCTAAAAATCATCAAATATGGAAAATGTACTAGTGTTTTTTGTTTATTTCACCAATGAATTTACGTGTAATCAAAAATCACGTAGTTAACTTGTCTTTGAATAATAAAAATGAGATATATAATTTATAAATCCTTATAAGTATACATATATATGATTATAAATATATTTATAAAAATTTAAAAATAATTATTTATAAACTTTATAAGTTTTTATGGTTCACCTTGTTTTACTGTTTGATTACATGACTTAATTATATATAAATAATTACAAAAATAAACAAATTGATGAAATCTTATATTTTCTTTCTATAATTCAGCTTTTAGTTATCAGAAATTATTATTTGTAAGATTTTTTGTGTTGTTTGGTGACTTATATTAATTGGTTCTAAATTTTCTTTTTATTTTTAGATCTGAGTAAAATATATAATTAATAACACTAATCAACCGATCGAATTAGAACTATTTTTTAAAACATCAGTACATCACCTATCAGTGACATATAAGCAAAAGACAATTAAATGACTTTTCAAATAATATATAGTAGGATCTTAGTCATTTTTCAAAAAAAAAATCTGATTATGTTTTTATTATATTCAAATTTTCCTTTGTGTTTAAAATGGTAGAACATGACTAAATTTTGAATGATAAAAAATGTAAAATATTCGAACATTTCTTTTTAAATCATATGTTTCAAGTTCATTTTTTAACTATTGGATATATTTGACAATAAATTTATCATAAACTTGAGGATATGTTTTATTCTAATACTTTTTGGATTATTTGTATTTAATTATTTAGTTTATGATTATTATTATTTTAGAATCGAATTAAATAAATCAAAAATGAAAAGAACATAGACTAATCAAATTATAACAACTCACTTATGAATGACATGTGTATAAAATCAACTTAACGGATTTGTCAGTTAATATATATATATATGACGTGATGATATATATCCTACAATAAAAAAAAATTATTTAAATATATGCAAATTTCAATTTGTATTTAAAATAAAAGACTAATAGAACATGAATAAAGTTTTGATAATTATACAGTTTTATCACTTTTACTAATTTTATACACATTAACTCAATATATTTAAGCAATATAAATGGATAGAAAAATCTATCTAAGATTATAGTTTTAAATATATACATATATATTCTTAAATATAATTTAAATAAAAAATATTTTATCTTAATTTAATGTTTAACTAAATAAGTTCTATATTTAAATATTTGTAAGAAAATAATAAAATCTATAATATTAATAAAATTTAATATTAAATATAATTTAAACTTAAAATTTTCTCACTGTACATGGTGCAGAAAAACACCTACTTTGTAATGAAAAAATATATGATATACTATTTTGTATGTTATTTTATTTCACAAAATAAAATTAAAATATTCTTTTATTTTACTTTTCCGTTAATAATGTCATTAAAAATATTATCATTTACACCATATTGTTACAAAATAAAATATATTACATACTTTTATAGTTAGTTTTAATAATATGAAATTTTGATTGTAACTAATATTTATATAGAAACATAAAATTACAAAAATATATTTTTAATAATATATAAATAAAATGTAATGTATATAACACAAAAATCAAAATTTGGTGTAATTTCAACCCTAAATTGGGTGTCATGGTTGGAGATGCTCTAAGTATATTTATTAGTTTCATTCTTCTTTTTTCAATAACTCACAAGTAACAAATACATCTAAATAAATTTTATCAGTTTCAAATTAAGGCATGGCTGATTTTTTTTTTTTTTTTGTCAACAGGCATGGCTGATTAAAAGATCAACGTAAGGCCCAAAATGTGTAATGCGATTTGTGGTCGTCACATCCAAGAAATCCCGATCTCTTCTCTCTCATCTCTTTGCCCACACATGTGTCAAAAGACTCAAAACCTATAATTAATTTATTAAAAAAGTATAACATATATTAATAATGTAAAAAAAGCGTTCAAGTGTCGTCCCCTCCGCAAAATAGGAGGAAGCACAAAAACCTAAACGCTTTCCCCTATATTGCTTCTTTCTCTGCTTTCATTTTTCCTCTCATGGCCAAAATGGAATCAATCTTCTCCTCTCTGGCCATCACCATATCTTACTGAAGCTATCTTCTGATTCTGCATCTTCTTCTTTTTCTTTTTCTTTTAGTTTATATTTTCCATTCTTCTCTTAATCAACCGAGAGAGAAAATGGCTCAATCCTGCGTTAAAATCGCTCGAAGCAACAATCTCAGGAACATAGTGAACCGTAGGGTATTGATTCTCCGTCGCTTCACGCGCCTTCTCTTGAACAGAATCGTCCCTTGCTCTCACGGCAAATCACAGAGTTATCTCCTGTTGTCACGGGCAGCCACTCCATCTCCGAGTGTCTCTCGTCCTCTGCCTCCTCCCATTCTCCCCGTGGACGGTGAGTTAGTACGCCGCACATCGATAGATAACAGCCAACGGAGATCGGATTCTGATGTGGTTTCTCTGAAAATTAGTCTCTTAGGAGATCCAGAGATCGGAAAAACTTGCTTCATGGTTAGTTTTACATATAAAACAAACATTACTTCTCAAATTATTAACTACGTACATTAACAACCAATGTTCTACAAATGGATAGGCCATGTTGTAGACGACCTATGCCAGATTTTTTGAATGTCTAGACAGATATTTTTTAAAATTCGGTTTGAAAAATTATTTAACTACTAAGAGTGTCACCTAGACCAATTTTTAGAACAAAGTTAACAACAATTTGTTGCTATAGTCAAATAAACAATAATATTGATTGTTTGAGTTTGATTGTGAAGGCTAAATATGCTGGTGAAGAGAAACAAGTTGAGATAAGAGAGTTGGAGAAAGGGATCCATTGTACGGACAAGACGTTATCCATGGGAGGAGCTCGCATTTCCTACAGTATCTGGGAATTACAAGGTTATTCTTCTTCTAAATTAAATGTTAAATCCATTAGCAATCATTGGAGGTTAACTAGAATTTTAAATCTAACAGGAGCTGAGAAATCACATGATCTAATCCCCACGGCTTGCAAGGACTCTGTAGCCATTCTCTTCATGTTCGATCTCACCAGTCGTTGCACACTTAACAAGTACAGTTACTGTTTAGCCTTGTCATCATGTAACTTTTGATTAAAGCTAAAGCTTCTTCTTATTTTTGTGAATATGCAGTGTGATTAGCTGGTATCAACAAGCTAGAAAGTTTAATCAGGTGAGATTTTAAGACACAACACTAACAACATTCTCAGTTTGGTCTCTCTTTATAAACAACTTGTGACTAATAGCATACGGCAGTTGCGTCTCTCCTTATAAAACACATTACGTCTTTATGCAGACGGCGATTCCAGTTATGGTAGGAACAAAGTTTGATGAGTTTATTCAGCTTCCTATTGATCTTCAATGGACTATTGCTAGCCAGGCGAGAACCTACGCGAAGGCGTTAAACGCCACGCTCTTCTTCTCGAGTGCTTCATACAACATAAACGTAAATAAGATTTTCAAGTTTGTGACGGCGAAGCTCTTCGACTTACCATGGACTTTGGAGCGAAATCTCACCATCGGAGAACCAATCATCGACTACTAGCATCTTCCAAAAAGTATTTGTAGATATATATATAATATAAAAGAAGTGATATCCGATGATAGTGTTTTGTTTTAAATTTTATTCACCGCCGTGGGATCGATCGGGACCACCGTTTCTAGCCGGCTTTAAAGCGGAATGGAGAGATGAGGCGGCGGAGATTTCGCCCACTTTCTTCTGTTTTTTTTTTTTTTAATTTAAACAAAAGAAAAAAACAGAGAAAAATGGTATCGAGAAAACGTAGCAGGAAGAAAAAGAGAGAGGAGATTGTTGATTTTTCTTATTCTTTTTGTAATGTTACTGCCTTTGATTACCACTGGAGAATTTTGATTCCAGTAAATTCTAAATAGTAAATACAATTTCGCTTTTTGAGTTTTTTTTCTTGTAACCACTTCCTTGCATGATTGTTTATGATCCTCTTGCTAAGCAAGCATAAGAACTTATATGTTTTGTAATATTTTCTTAATATATATAGAGTTAAAAAAAATACTTTGGTTAAAATAATTTAGGAGCACAAATAAATTAGTCAAATAATATGACTAAAATCATTTTATAGCTAAAAGAAGAAGAAAAGCAAACCCACTAACACAATGAAATGAAAAATATTTTTAAAAATATAGTTTTTGAATGAAAAGAGATGAGGAATAAAAAGTTAAAAACACTTAGGAAACAAACGTGAGAAAAATAATGAACGGTAACCACTTAGACAAAAAAAACAAATTCAAGTAAAGGAAAAAAATAAAGAAAACTTGAGTAAAAGGCTTAATTCCTAATTTTAATACAAATTGTAAATGATGTGAGAATGAGCTTGTAATTTTTATGTGTATTTTTCCTTTGGGCTTTTCTTATAGTAAAAAAATGTGACAAATAAACCAGGGTAAAGG